GCGGAGGCCCCGTACTCTCCTTGACTGAACTCAAGGGTTACCGGTACACACCAAAGTGCCACATCAACGTAGCAGACTGTTTCAACCATGTCGGTATACCCCGCACAGTTCCCTCACAGTCTTGTTGCTACTTTCTAAGAAGGTATCCCCCAGATCCGGGTTAGGATCTATAGAACTCCCAAGCAACCCACAATTTAAAGCACACAAGGAAAGCAATTGAAAACACAGTGATCTTAGTCCTAAGGTACACCTCACTTTATAAGAACTCCCCAGCAGAGTCGCCAGTTCTGTGATCGGTGGATCTGGAACTGACTGTTTAACGCTGGTTCGCGAAATGTCGCGGTAAGCAAGAGTCGTCACCGTCTTTTATTTTCTCCAAATGGAAAGGACAAAAGCACAGAAAAATTCCTTAAAGAGATTGCTCTCGGTTCGGGAGGTAGGTTATAGAAAGGGAAGGTATTAGCACCCTTTCTATCCATGGTTATCCATGGGCTCTTAGATACTTGCTCAATGTGTTTTCAAAAATGTTTGTTTGCTTTTCAATGTGGGTTTTAAAAAGTTTCTTTGAAAAATTTCAGTTCGACTCGTACGTCAGAGTGTTTGAAAAATTTACTTTGAAAGCCTTTGAAAATGTGTTGGTGCGAAAAGATTTTGTTTGTTTTTTGAAGAGAGCAAGTATCTACGAGAACCTACCTACCCTAAGGAATTCGTCTGTGTAAATGTCCTTAAAAGTAGTGCCATCCCACCATTGAGAGGTAGGTAGCACCACCGTTGGAGGTGTTCGGGTCAATTCGAGTTTGTAGGGACATGGTGATCACCAGAGCAATGGGAAGACACCTTAGAAGCTACCCTCATGCCAGGTTCCCGGATCATGAGGACTTACTAAGACGTCCTCTACTCGACGATCACCTTTCGAAAGGCAACAGTGAGGCGTACCCTAGGGGTGGTGTGTGCGAATCGTGTGTCGTTTTCATTTGTATTTGTCTTGTCATGTTAAAGTGATCTACGCTTGATTTTATTATGGTCATTCATTCTTTCATGCTTATTTAACAGTTTAATATTTGCGGGACAATAAATCTAGACTATTACAAATGGCGCGGGTCCACATCGCCAAAATTAAACCGGACCCGATTTGACGGAAAATAAATAAAGCAATAAAATAAAAGTGCGAGAAATAAAATCGTTACAACGCTTTGGGAGAATTACATAATTATAATGAACGACATAAAATAAATGCGCGAAATTAAATAATTAAAACAATGGGCGTTGGACCCTTTTGCAAAATTAAAATTAATAAGAAATTACAATTAAAAATTAACAGAAAATGTTTTTTAGTATTTTTGTGTTTTTAAGATTTAAAAGAAAAAAAGAATTGATTGAAATTAAAATAAAATGTCAAACCCTAATTCTAATGGTTTTTAAACTAATTATGAAAAATATTGAATTTTTAACTAATTTAAACCTAAGTTAATTTACATGCATTTTATATTTATGAAAATAAATAAAATATTATTATTGAAAAAAAGGAAATTAAGAGGAGTAGAATTAACAATTAAACCTAAATTCTATATTTTTTTTGTATTTTTAGTTATTAAAAAGAATTAAAATTGTAACCTAATTAAAACTAATAATTACATGTTAATTTATTTATGAAAATATTAGAATGAAATAATTTAACATTTTTTCTTTTTCTGAATTTTTATGATGTTTTTTATATATTGTAAAAATAATGAATTAAATTAAAACAATAAAACAAATAAAATAATAATAAAAAAAAGATATGAGAAAAATAAAAAAAAAACTTGCAAACCAGGGGGGGTGGAGGTCCCCAATATGGAGGTGTAATTTGGAATAGTCTGGCCCAATTAAGCATGGCCTTCTTTGACTTTTTTGCTAGCCTGCTTCAGCGTTGACTGGAGTTCTTCATGATCTCCAATCCATGGCCTTTAGATTGATGGAGCTAGACGCGTGTATGGCTTGATGGTGAGGGAATATGGTGTTTTTCACTGTGAGCGCTGCATGGAATGATGTATAGAAAAATAACATGAGAAATTGTACAGACCTGGGACTTGAACCCAGGTCATGAGGGTTACCAGCGTTGTCCCCAACCAACTGTGCCAATTCACGCTTTTGTAATATAATTAACAAACAAATAATATAATAGAAAAACGAAGCATTAATGGATTAGCGCGCGAGAATTCAAATGTGCCTATCACGTTTTGACACGGCTTCTTCTTCCTCACCATCCCTGTAAACAAAACACAAAGGCAACGTTTTTCAGGCGTTTCATTAGAAGGCTTTTGAAAAAATAGCGACTAGCGCTAGGGTGTATATAAATTGATCGCGAAGGTCAAGATCTCTTCGTCCAGATGCGTTGATTGCAATGGCATGGGTCTGGAATCCTAATTTTACTTGGTTTGGGAAACCCCAATTTTCAAACTCTGTAAACCCTAAAAAGCAGTTATGGCATAATCGCGTACGATGCACAATAATTCAATTAAATACCATGGTCAGCTTTAGAACTTCACAAGGAACAAGAATCAACAAATAAAATTCACAAATAACGCATAGAATAGAATGTATGATTATGCAATTTGTTTGATACAGTTCCGGCTCTAGGTACCAATTCCTTGCGTTTGGATGGATGATATTGATTGGAATGCGTTCAGAAATGCTTGAGGAAGCTATTGAAATAGGTTTGGTGTCTTGAATCAACCTCTAGCACTGATTTCAGATTTGAGTTTTATGGAAAATTTTCAAGTTTGCAAAGTGTTTTTTTCTGCGCAGCTTCAAGTGTGTAAGGCTTAGGGTTGTATTCCTGGTTATGTATTGAAGCAATTAGGTTAACAAAATTCAACAAAATCTCTTGTAATCATGGATTGGAGATTTGATTTTTTTCCATTATATTTTCAATCTTTTTCACATGGTTTTTGTATCAATTATGATCAATTCAATCCAATTCTTCCTAATCAGCATGTGCACGAAATATTGAGTCTAGAATGTGTACAAAAAGATTTTTTAGGTCAAGTTTTATATTTTCCATATATTTATATAATTTAAATGAATTAATATTAATAGAAATTCAAATAAATAAATAAAAAATGAGAAAATACTTCCCTTTGGGCCAAGTGGTCGTGCATATGCTTGGAATGATGAATCATGGAAGAAAAATGGGCCCATTAGCAAATTTAGGTCATTTGAAGTAAAGTTGACTTTTCAAAATTCCCAAAAATTTCCCAACTTCCACAAGGCATAACTTGCTCAATTTTCAAGTTTTTCACATGTTCTTGGACATTTTGGAAAGGTCTTTGAGTCCTCTAACCAATGCCTTTGGTCCCATGTCATTTTGATTTACCAATCTCAAGTTATGGTCTTTGACTTAAAGTCCCTCTTTGTTGACTTTTGAAAATGACCTATAATGTTGAAATTGATAACTTTTTGTGAGAGCATTTCTTGGACTTGGAATATGAATATGAATTGTAGGAAATTTCTTTCTCTTCAAAATGAGCTTTGGATGGAATTTTTCTGATAATCCATGTGAAAGTTATGCCCTGGTCAATTTCAGTTGACTTTTTCAGCTATCCAAATATAGTAACTTTTGTATCTTTGATGATTTCTGAGCCAAATTTTGAGAATCATGATCAAGCATTGATCAAATGATGTTTGTGGCTTCAAAATGATATGTTGACCAAAAATTTGAACTTTTGACTGTCAAATGACCATTTTGCCCCTACAGTTGACTGTAGTGCAATTTAGGGTTTTGACTGTGCAATTTTGAGCTGAATGCCTTGAAACTTGATATGAGGATGCTTGACCACATTTGTAGGCATATGAGACTTGATTGGGCCTTTGAAAACTTTCAATTCTTGATCAGAACACAAACCCTAGTTTTGACTGTATAGGAGACAGTTGCACTGCACAACCCTTGGGGAATTTTGTGACTTGACTTGGCAATTTCTTGAAGAATATGGGAGGGCAAATTTTGGGGTGCAACACCTTTGAATAGGTTTCTATTTGTAAGGGTTGTGTAGCACTCAAAGCTTTGAAGCAAGAGTGTTTGAATGTTCCTTGACTAAAGCTGTGAAGCAGAGTCAAGTTAGTTGTGTACATCACTCAAAGCTGTGAAGCACGAGTGATTGTGTTGCTTGATTAAAAAGCTGTGAAGCTTAATCAAGTGTTTGTTTTTGAAGAGTGTCTTCATCAATTCTTAAGTCAAATTGGTTTATGTATCACTGCTGTGATTGAGGGGGAGTGAGTAGGAACTCAGGTTTAAGTTGTACTTAGATTAGAATTACATTGGGTAGGTCTTAAGTGAAGGAGATAAACTGGTTGGTTTATTCCTGAATTAACATCTCTTATAGTGGATTCTCTCCCTGGCTTGGTAGCCCCCAGAGTAGGTGTTGTTGCACACTGAACTGGGTAAACAATTGACTGTGTTCTTTATTGCTTTTGTATTTACTGTCATATAGTAAGTCAGATACGGTGTCATAACATTGAACGTGGCATTGAGTATCTACAACCAGAATTTCAATTGGTATCAGAGCAGGCACCCTGTCTGTATTACTGGGTGAGATCTAGGGATATCACTTTCTGGCACTATGGACAAAGAAGGAGTTTTTGGAAATAGACCACCCATTCTGGACGGAACCAATTATGACTACTGGAAACCTCGTATGATTGCCTTCCTAAAATCTCTGGACAAAAAGGCTTGGAGAGCTGCTGACAAAGGATGGATTCATCCCACCATAACTGAGATAGATGGGACAATCAGTCTGAAGCCTGAGGAAGATTGGAGTAAAGAAGAAGATGAGTTAGCTCTGGGAAATTCAAAAGCTTTAAATGCCTTGTTTAATGGAATTGATAGAAACATTTTCAGACTAGTACATCAATATGAACTGGCCAAGGAAGTTTGGGACACTCTCAAAACTACTCATGAGGGCACTTCCAAAGTAAAAATGTCAAGGCTTCAGATGTTGACTACAAAATTTGAGAATCTAAAAATGATGGAAGATGAAACCATTCATGAGTTTCACATGAACATCTTGGAGATTGCCAACACCTCAGGAGCACTGGGAGAAAAGATGTCAGAAGAAAAACTGGTGAGGAAGATTCTCAGATCCTTGCCTAAAAGATTTGCAATGAAGGTAACTGCCATAGAGGAAGCCCAGGACATTAGCAAGTTGAAAGTGGATGAACTTATTGGGTCTCTTCAGACTTTTGAGATGGGGATCACTGATAATGGTGACAAGAAGAACAAAAGCATAGCACTTGTATCCAACACTGATGTTGAATACAAGGAGGATGAAGAAGAAAACATATCAGAAGCTATTGCCATGCTTGGAAGACAGTTCAACAGGCTCATCAAAAGAATGGACCCAAAGTCAAGGTCTAATGTTCATAACATTCCCTCTGACATTGACAGTTCCAGCAGAAGACCAAGGTCAGAAGATAAGGGAAACCAAGGCAGAGGTATTCAATGCCATGGATGTGAAGGATATGGACATATTCGAGCTGAATGTCCTACCTTTCTTAAGAAGCAAAAGAAAGGAATGACTGTTACTTGGTCTGACTATGATTCAGAAAGTAATTCTGAAGAAGAATCTGCCAAACTAGTTACTGCCCTAACTAGTGTTTGTACTTCTGAAAGTGACACTAGTGATGAAGAAGTGACATTTGAAGAACTGGCTGATACCTACAAGAAATTGTGTATCAGAAGTGCTGAAGTCTGTGTGCAGAATGAGAAACAATCAAAACTCATTATAAAGCTGGAGGCTGAAAAAAGGGCAAATCTTGAAACTATAAGTCATCTAGAAGGAGAAGTTCAACTGCTGAACTCACAACTGAATCAAATGACCAAATCTGTCAAGATGTTGACCAATGGAACAGACAAATTGGAAGAGATCCTTCAGGTTGGACAAAATGTGGGAAATAAATCTGGACTAGGATTTATGGAAGCAAAGAAATCTGGTACTGGTAAGCAAATGTCAAAACGGATGTCTCAACACAACTCTCAACATCAGGAACAGAGACATATGAAGAAAAGGTACCAAAGATGGAAATGCCATCATTGTGGTAGATATGGCCACATAAAGCCCTTCTGCTTCAGATTACATGGATACCCTAATCAGATCTCAGGTGTCAAACCTAAGTCTAAAAAGGTACCACATGCTCCTCAATGGAAGAAAAAGACTACTGCACTGATAGCTCACACTTCCCTGAGGGTCTCTGCAAAAGAAGACTGGTACTTTGACAGTGGATGTTCCAGACATATGACTGGAATCAAGAACCTCCTCAATAATGTTAAGCCTCACACCACCAGTTTTGTGACCTTTGGAGATGGGGCTAAAGGTGAAATCAAAGGAGTTGGTGATTTGGACTGCCCTGGAGTTCCAAGTCTGAATGAAGTACTGCTGGTGAAAGGACTGACCGCTAATCTCATTAGTATCAGTCAACTGTGTGATCTAGGATTCAAGGTCAATTTCTCAAGATCTGAATGCCTTGTAATCAATGACAAACAAGAGATAGTAATGAAAGGAGTCAGATCCAAAGAAAATTGTTACTTGTGGGAGGCTGAGAACACTAATTCCTCATCTGTGTATTCCATTGCAAAAGAAGAAAAAGAGGTGAAACTGTGGCAGCATAAGCTTGGTCTCCTTCATCTAAGAAGAATGAAGAGAGCTATCTCTATGGAAACTGTCAGAAGAACTCCAAAACTACAGGTTGATGATATCTGTGATGTGGGAAATAAACTTGAAGAAGAATGTGTTGTCAGAACCTTAAGTCATCTTGACAAGGATGTTGGAAATAACAAGTCTCACAAATTCTGTTCTCAAAACATCTGGTCAAAACAGATGCTCCCTGAGTACAATGTTACACAAGATGTTGTGACATTGTGTTGTGACAATCTGAAAACATTCAACATTTCCTTGAACCCTATTGACTTTGAAGAGAAGAAGTCATTTAAACTGGAACATAGGTTCTCTAAGCTTCAGTTGACTGATTCTTCTACCAAGGCTCTTGTTGGAAATAAACTTGAAAATTTGAGGGGCAGGTTGGGTATTCACCAACATGAGAAATTATAGCAATCAGTTTTGCTTAAAACAAGGGTTGAAGGGATTAATTTTATTAAGTCTATATTTAGTGGGTTAATCATATTCTTTCACAATTCCTTCAAAAGCTTTAAGAAGTTGAAGAGACTCCCTTTTACCCCCTACCTCTCTCATCCTTGCAACCTGTTTCCTCCTCCCAATCAAAGGTTTTTCTCAAACTGCTACTATTACTCAAAGTCAATCAAAATGTCTCAGACATCGTCTTCCACCATGGCGGCTTCATCTTCCTCATCATCGTCATCATCTGATCAAGATTCTAGGGCAATCACTACATGCATAGAATCTGAAGTTCTTGAGGTCACTCCTCTCAGGGAGATGGCCACTGACCCAACCAGAGTCAAAAAGCTCAGAACCAGACATGCAGGAAGAGCTCAAGCTACAGCCTCTGGTAATTCTTCTCATCCTTCGTCTTCTGTACCTAATAGAGAAGGATCAGTTCAAGTACACCAAGCTATTGCTAGGCTGGTTACTAGCATTCTGAGTGGCAACCAATCTGTACCGGGGATTTCTATCCCTTTAAATCAATCAGAAAGTCCAAATGTGGAAGGTTCTGAAAATGTGGATGTCACTGAGGATGTTGTGACACCAAAAGACAACATTCAGAACCCCTCTGAAAAGGCTGCTGATCCACCTATCATTGATGTGGATGAAGATTACTCAGATAATGAACTGATTGCTAATGTGAACCCTAGCATAGCTAGGAGATTGATGAAAAGAAAGAGTAGTCAGAATGATAAACCTGATGCTAAGAAATCCAAGGCTGAAGGGATGGCTGAGAAAAGCATTCAGACAAAAGGGAAGAAGGCACAGGTGCAGACTGCTAGACAACCAATCTCTAAGAAAAGTAAAGAACCTGAAACTTCTGATTCTGATGATGAATCAGAATTTGAGATTGATATTGAAGAAACTCCCATCAGAAGGAAGCTCCCCTCCAGCAAGATTGCTAGAGTGCCTGAAGTGCCAACAGACAACATCTCCTTTCATCATCCTGACAATGCAAACAGATGGAAGTATGTTTGCTTAAAGAGAATAGCCTTGGAGAGAGAACTCAACAATGATGCCTTGGAGTGCAAAGACATCATGGATCTGATCAAGAATGCTGGGCTAATGAAGACAGTGATGAAGTTTAATAAATGTTATGAAAATCTGGTTAAGGAGTTTGTAGTGAACTTGTCTAATGATTGTGCTGATGGAAGGTCAGCTGACTTTGAGAGTGTGTTTGTTAGAGGAAGAAGGGTCAAGTTCTCTCCATCAGAAATCAACAAGTTTCTTGGAAGAACAAATAAGGACTGTCCTGATCTAGAGGCAACTGACAATGAAGTGTGTCTAACCATCACAGCCAGGAAAGTAAAGTGCTGGCCATTGAAAGGGAAGCTGAATGCTAGTAAACTCAACATAAAATTTTCCATCTTGCATAAAATAGGTGCAGCAAACTGGGTGCCTACAAATCACAAATCAACTATCTCCACAGGATTGGGGAGATTTATCTATGATGTAGGAACCAAGACTGCCTTTGACTATGGAAGGTACATCTTTGAACAAACTTTAAAGCATGCTGGCAGTTATGCTGTCAAAGGACCAATTGCCTTTCCCTCCCTCCTCTGTGGAATCATCCTTGCACAATTCCCTGATATCCTTGTGGCAAGAGATACAGTCTGCAAAAGAGCTCCTGCCCTTGGCCTGCACTACAAACTGTTTCAGGGATCTCATACTCCAGACATTGTCATAACATCAGCTGAGACATCGTCTGTGAAGACCCAGTCCAAGACATCAAATGTCATAACTGTTTTAAAAGAAACTTGCAAAGAGCTGGATACTAGAAAAAGGACCCTAGAACTTCTAATTGCCAGGCTAGAAAAGGAGGAAGCTGAAGAAAACAGAAGGGAAGAAGGTGAAGGACATCTCAACATTGAAGAAACTAGCTCCTCAGAATCTGATGACAGTGCTTGAAGGTTGATTGCTGTTTGGTGGTGTTGCTGGTTGGTGCTGATATCTGGTGGAGTTTGGAAGTTGTTTTCTGCTGCTGCTCTTACTATTTTGTTTTGGATAACTGTATAATTTTCTTTAACATGTTTTCTTTGGCCCATTTGTGGCTAAAGAGGGGGAGAATATTTTGGTACTTGCTTAATTAGTACTTGACATTCTGTGTTCTATTTTTCTGTTGTCACTTACTTCTGCTGCTATCTATCTCTGATTGTTTAGGGTCTTTAGCCAAAAATCTGCCAAAGGGGGAGTTTGTAGGTGTTTAGGTATTGGCTTGAATTTTTGGTAAATCCCAAGTGTATGTGTGAATGTCATGACTGATGTCACAACATTCTAGTTCAGTTTGTACTGACTCATTAGGTACCTTTGCAGAAAAATATTGTAATTCAAATACTGATGTTTATAAGTGTGTATCTGAGCATTTTTGCAAAATGATCACATTTTGCTAAATCAGTAGACAGGTTTTCTCAGATGTCATAACAGATGTTATGACATCCTGTTCTGAACTAATAGGATTGCAGGATTGGATAAGTCTGAGTTTTTTCAGGAAATAACTCAGTCCTTTCTGAACAGAATCCTGCGTTTTCTGAGGGGTAACCTAGCTCAACCCTAACCTGGTTAATAAAGTCCTGTGACCTGGTCTTTAGGTCAAACGGAATTAACCCTAGGTTTTTGGAAACCCTAACTGAAGTTGCAGCTGCTATATATTCAACAGAGCTGCTGTTTTTCAAGGATCTCTGCTGATTGATTAGAAGATCATTTTGTAATCTGTATAAATTTGTTTATTTGTACTCCAAGCAATTATCATTGTGATAAGTGCCTTGGAATAGGTTTCTATTTGTAAGGGTTGTGTAGCACTCAAAGCTTTGAAGCAAGAGTGTTTGAATGTTCCTTGACTAAAGCTGTGAAGCAGAGTCAAGTTAGTTGTGTACATCACTCAAAGCTGTGAAGCACGAGTGATTGTGTTGCTTGATTAAAAAGCTGTGAAGCTTAATCAAGTGTTTGTTTTTGAAGAGTGTCTTCATCAATTCTTAAGTCAAATTGGTTTATGTATCACTGCTGTGATTGAGGGGGAGTGAGTAGGAACTCAGGTTTAAGTTGTACTTAGATTAGAATTACATTGGGTAGGTCTTAAGTGAAGGAGATAAACTGGTTGGTTTATTCCTGAATTAACATCTCTTATAGTGGATTCTCTCCCTGGCTTGGTAGCCCCCAGAGTAGGTGTTGTTGCACACTGAACTGGGTAAACAATTGACTGTGTTCTTTATTGCTTTTGTATTTACTGTCATATAGTAAGTCAGATACGGTGTCATAACATTGAACGTGACATTGAGTATCTGCAGCCAGAATTTCAAGTAGAAATAGAAGGATACAATGTGTAGATATATGAGACAATGTATAATTGCTTAGATCTGAAAAAAGATATGAAAAAGAAGACGATGAGCAACGAATCTCATATTTCTTCCAATGTGTGGGTGATCATCAAAAATGCAGTGGTGGTCTCATTGGTGATTATTTCGTGAAAGAGAAGAGGATGATGATTGTTTTCTCTTCTTTCTGATTCGTGAGCGAGAAAGAGTGAGGAAGAGGATTTTCTTTTTAATTTTTTATTTGTGGGAGAGAAAGAGGAAGTTTGTCTATGAAAGAAGAAGCTATTGGATTTTAGAAGAAGAGATTGGATATCAGAAATGTGATTTTTAATTAGTTGATTTATTAAAATTTAATAAATAAGTGAATTAATATAAAATTTAATGAAATAATTTAATCTTAAATGGACCAATATGACATGGAAATATATTTTGATAAAAAGAAAATGACACATCGTCAGCAATCATGCCATAACACTAAAAATAAATCCTAAATTGAATAGAGACTAAAATCCAACACAAACTTAAAAAAATAGACTAAAATATTGTTTTTAAAATGGGGGATCAAAACAAAAAAAATCTAAATAGGGAGACCAAAATTACAGCTAAACCTTCTTTTTATATATAAATTAAATACTTATTACTTAATTACTAATGACTTTTTTCAATATAAATGTTTTATTCTTTAGATTGTAAATATTTTATTAATTGATTAGATATAATCTCCTTTCATTATTTTTTGTGTTTTTGTAATATCCTGTATTATGATTAATTCCTAATGACATGGCTAAATTATGTTGAGTACTGATATTAGAGAATTAATACATAATATCTAATTAGATTTATATTGAACTAAATACAGCAATGAGGAATATTATAGTCTTTGGCCACTTAAGTTATAATTAGGGGTTGTTTGGTCTTGACCCATTCCCTTATAGAGAATAGAAGAGAGAAGAGGCGTGAAAGAGAGGAACAGGAAGAGGAAGAGAGGCCATCTTCCAACTTTAAGCTTTTTCTTGCATGCAAATCAAGAATCACCATCATCTTCATCCCTTCTACTGAGTTTCGTAGCTCTTCATCATCTCTATCAAGGTGGGTCTCTTAGATAGTGACTTAGGGAAAATGGGGTTTATTACATGCTTGGGGATTTATGGATTTGAGTGAGAAATCTTGTTCAATATTGCTTTTAATTGATGATTAACATGTTGATGTACTGTATTTCGTATCTATATGTTATGGGTATGCAGATTGAAGTGTAGAATTGGGACTTTGAGACCCCATGACAAAATTGGTTCTACGCTGGTTTTTCTGCATTTCACAGACCATGCTTATTGTGCGGGGTCTCTCTCAGTGCACCCTCCTGAAAGTTGAAATTTGGAAATTCGTAGACCGCGCTTAGTGCGATGATCCCGCTTGGCGTGTCCTCTTGGGACTTGAAATTTAATTATTTTGCAGAGCGCGCGTAGCGTGAGAGGATGCACTCAACACACCCTCCTGGATATAACTATGTTATTGTAATCCCTTGAGTGCAGTCCCGTACCTTAGTGGGTACTGGACTCCTCCTTTATCCTTGTGATTTCTTGTAGTTGAATTGCATCATGAATATAATCCTTGTGAAATCATGAATCTCTTATGACATGAATATTCATGATTATGTTGAAATTATATTATACGATAAATGCTATTATATGACTTATGGCATGTTCCGGTTCGTTTCAGATTGAATGTTCGGATGGATTTGTTGCATGGTTGATGCAATTGTGTGATATATGCTTTAATCAGAGTAGGCCTGGATGCTAGGACGTAAATCACTTATGACGTAGACCTTGTGTGTCACTTATACCATTGCGATGTGCAGTTGTGGGCCAAAATGGCAAGGCGTTTCCACACTTGTGGCGATCATATCTGCGTGCTCCGCATGTCATACGCATCTGAGCTACCATTGTGATATACCATTAGGGGTCCTTTAAGGGTGTTTCCCCACTTGTGGAAACCACATCAGCGTGCTTGGTATGGTGATATAGTGAGGCCATGTAGGAAATATCACTATGGTTTACTCACCTCTAGTGGTACCACATAAGCTACACCACTAGGATTTCACCCGGTGGGCTCGTGTCGCTAAGATGGCATTTTCGTACCGACGATCTAATCACAAGCGTTTGGATGATGGACGGGTAGGTGATGCCACATCGACAAATGTCTCTTATGTAACTCGTCACAGATGGAATTCTATTGGGAATGATCTGAGTCGTCGTGTTGTGACTGGTGCAAGTCTCTTGATGTGATACACGGGTGTAATTTACTAAGAGTGTGATAGTATAACTTGAGCAGGGGCGTTAACATACTTCTGGATTCCTCATACATGGGTACGAGTCTGCATATTGTTTATAGCCTTGGTCCGATTGCATTTTCTTGGTTTCCCCATTAATCGCTATGGGACTTCTAATGGTGGTGTTACTCTGATGTGTATTTGTACCTATCTGTGAGGAAAACCCGAATTCACGGAGAATCCGTTCTGATGCGTGCACCTTCTAGAACTAAGCGAACCCTTAAGATATGGAGACTCATTGAGATTTAGTAATCTCATCTCATTCCAATTATTGTTTTTCAGGTTCTTCGAGGCAGGATCGCGACAAGGGTAAGATGGCTTAGCTTGTCGATGATGTTTCCTGGCGATGTTTTGTTGTTCTTTATCATTCTGTTTTGTACCCTCGAGATTATCTATCAGTACTTATGGGATTTTTATTGTTTTAGCCATGACAGTTTCAACAATTTGTAATTGGAACTAATACTTATTCTTTTTCCGCTACTTATGTATGAATGTTTTGTGTACCATATTAATGCCATATGCATATATCCTAGACAATGTATGTGTGGGGTGTTACAGTTTTCAGAATGCAAGTTGTGAAAACATGTCATTTGAAATTTGAAATTTGAAATTTTATATTTATTAATTAATATAATCTTTGATATAATTATTTTAAAAAACAATTAATTTGATGTATTTCTTTTTTATCCTTAAGATTATAGGTCACTAGTTTCGTAACATTGATCGCTTTGTATCTATTTTTTTTAAATAAAAAAAATTATATAGAAAAATGATTAATTGGATGTATATCCTTTTTATCTTCGAGGGCTCGAACTCAAGTCGTATAACTTGTTTAATGCTTGTCTTCCTTTTAAAAAAATTAATAACTTGATCATCTTGAGTTCAATTCTTTTATCGGATGAAACATGTTAATTGAATGTATATTCCTTTTTTATCGAGCATTGAGACACAAGTCATATAACTTGCTTGATCCAACAATTTGCTTCTTTTAAGAGATTTCAACTCGATTCACGTTGAATATTTTTCTTTATTAATAAAATTGGATTAAAAAAGGATTAATTTGATGTATATCACTTTTTTCCTTGAGTGTTCAGACACAAGTCATGTAGCCTGCTTGTCTTCCTCCTAAAAACAATCACAACCAACCAACCAACTAATAATGTTTTATCCGCGCTAACAAGTTCTACAAACAACACTTTTATCCGCATTAGTATGGCCAACAAGAAACAATTTTACGCTCTATCACAATCAAATCATTTTCTTTAAAATCAACCAACACACAAATATTTAATACAATGAACTACATAGCTTTGAATTCTCCATCTCACTCAGAGATACGTAAGACCAAGAATTAAATATTGTCAAGGACATTAATGGAAAAAAACATTTTATCCATTTGTTTATATAAACTCTTTATTTCTTATCCGATGATTAGGAGGAAATCAATATAATAAGGTTAACAACTTTCTTTTTGTAAAATTAATTAGAGGTAACCATTTTCATAATAAAAAATTATAGGATGTTAATATCTTCCCTATGTATAATCGTCCCATGAACTTGAATTTGGTTGCAAAGACCATTTTTTTGTTGTTTAAGGGGTTTTGTTAACATTTTACCTTTTCAAATAAATATTGGTGGTGACTTTATTGATTCTGAGAACGCCTCAAAAAATTTTTGCGCCACGACAAACACAATGCCTAAAACAATAAGAAGATCAAAGGTCGTCGAAGTTCGTAAGAGAAAAAGGTTGCAAGATAGTAGCAAATTCCAAGGGACAAGATAAACTGAAAGTTCTTTTGAAAACCAAATTGTCCTTGTAAATGAGAGCGAGTCAGATCGATTGATGATCCAACTTGCATGATGATAATAGAAAACAATAGTCATATCCTTGCATTAGAAATACTACGTCATTTGAGTGCTATCGAACACCCTAATTAAGAGACCACACCCTAGCAAGCAAAATGGAAGGCTATGTGTATGGAAATATTTGAAGCGACGCAACGACATGACCTACATTGAATGAACTTGTCTCCCACTCTCTTCATGACTGAATTCAGAGTTCTCTACGACTACAAGCGTTCAATCGAACACTGCGTCCAAAAGACTTCCCGCTCGACAGTTACGACAAATTTAAGAATAATTGTTCTAGGTCGACCAAAGATCCAACAAGAAAAATTTACTTGTCATTAAGAAGAAAGCTCAAAAACTATTTGATTCAAATGTTTATATGCTTACCCTACAAATGTAATTTTAATTTTAATTTATATACATATATATATATATATATATATATATATATATATATATATATATATATATATATATATATATATATATATATATATATATATATATATATATATATATATATATATATATATATATATATATATATATATATATATATATTTGATTGTTCTATGTGATTAAATGATAACTCACACTAAAGCATGTAAGATTAAAATTGCCACTTGTAATATCAATCAATAAAAGTATAGTTTTTTTTTAATATCATAAGAACCGGATCGACTAGTAGTAATATTTTATAAAATCTATTAGAGCATCTCCAATGGTGCTACTCATATTTGAGTTTTTTGTGGGATCCATTAAGCCACATCATCTTGAAGAAACTCACTCCATTTTTCACTCCAATGGTGCAATTTTAAAGAACTTATATTGAGTTTCACAATTTTACTTTATATATTAATATTTTATTCATACTAAATTTTATTTGATTTAAAATAATAATTTAAATTATTTAAATTTAAATTAATATAAAATAAATAAAATTAAAATTAAACATAAAATTTAAAATGATAATTAAAATTAATCTCAAATACATGACATATAATTAAAAACAATAAAAATAAATTACATAACATAATTACTCAAATTTAATTTCCGTCGTCCTCATGTCCAAAACGTTCCCAAATATGCTCGACTAGATCTCCTTGAAGTTGGCGATGAACTTGTTTTTCACTAAGAGTTGCTCTTCTTTGTAGTCTTGTTGCAAGATTCAGATGAGGACCGTTAAATGTTTCAGTCGTTGAGTTGTTGTTACCGACATTATCGTAAGAGTAATCAAAATCACCTCCATATGTGTGTCGTTCGTCTTCGACAATCATGTTGTGCAATATGATGCAAGCATATATGGTATGCTTAAGGGTTTCCATGTGCCAAGCACGTGCTGGACCACGTATTATTGCAAAACGAGATTGAAGCACTCCAAATGCTCGTTCCACATCCTTTCTAGCTGATTCTTGGTGTTGTGCAAATAGTTTTCTCTTTTCTCCTTGTGGCATCGAAATAGTTTTGACAAATGTAGCCCACTCAGGATATATTCCATCCGCTAAATAATACCCCATATTATAAGGAGTTCCATTGATTGTATATTGCACATTAGCAGCACGTCCTTCCAAAATATCGTTAAACACATTGGATTGGTTTAACACATTAATGTCATTGTTTGAACCTGTAATACCAAAAAATGCATGCCAAATCCACAAGTCTTGTGATGCCACTGCTTCAAGCATGATCGTGGGTTTACCATGATCACCTTGACAAAACTGTCCTTTCCATGCAACAAGACAATTCTTCCATTCCCAGTGCATACAATCAATGGAACCCAACATACCTGGAAAGCCACGTGACTCACCCATTTGTAAAAGATGTTCAATATCAGTGTTGTTAGGCTTTCTCAAATACTCAGCCCCAAATACAACATTCACGCCCTTAACGAATCTTTCTAAGCACTCAATTGAGGTACTTTCACCGATTCGAACATATTCGTCTACAATGTCAGCGGGAGACCCATATGCCAACATACGAATAGCAGATGTGCATTTCTGCAATGGTGAAAGACCCATCTTACCAGTTGCATCGACCCTCATTTGGAAATATTCATCATGATTGTCGAGGGCATCTACAATTCGAAGAAACACATGCCTATGCATTCTGAACCTTCTTCGGAATTGTACATCTGTGTATACTGGATTTTCTGAGAAGTAGTCATTGAATAACCGATTGTGCCCTTCTTCACGACCTCGATCTATCGTAGTTCTTCTCTTTGGCCTAGAGGAACTTCCAAATTGACATTCATTTTGAAGATGTTATTCTTCATCACTGTCGTCCATAAATTCTTCTTCAACTAACTCCCAAAATTCTTGATCGTAATTATCTGAATTGTTTGAATCCATTTTAGTGAGGAATAAGAAGAGAATGAGAAACAATGACATAAGTGGTAGTATATATAATGGTTTGAATAAAGGCTAGTTATTCATAACAGCTAGTTTGAATAACGGCTAGTTTGAATAACGGCTAGTTTGAACAACATAATATTTATTATGATTTAAAGTGGTACTAATGACCATTTTACATAGGATTTGATAAATTAAAGTGGTACTAATGACCATTTTACATATAATTTAAAGTGGTACTAACTACAGTCCATATTTTTTTTCATTTTATTACAATATTTTTCATGAATATCTCGTTGACTTTCGTTCATAGTAGAAGTGTCTTTCATCATGATTTGCATTACCTTTAATTATATCTCGTCCTCCTTACTTTGCGCAAGTCTTTCCATTGTTTCTGCTCTTTTATTCCTTGCATCTTGCGTTGCATTTGAAATTTCCTTTGTCTTACCCTTCCTTTTTGCTGCTTTTTGTCCCATTTGACGCTCCATTGGTGATGATGAGTTAAACTCATAACTTGAAGGTGTATCAGGGATCTCCGATGATGCCCCACTAGCAGAAGTCTGTGTCATTTTTGAAGAATTTCCAATCGATTCTCCGATGATGCCCCATTTAGCTTCATCTTTTAACAATCGCCATGTATACTCAAGATTGAATGTTGTACCTTGATCTTGAGCATAAAAAGCACGTGCAGCAGCCATGATATCGTTCTCCGATGTCCCACTTTTCTTTCCATTGACAGCTTGTCTATAACACCCAACAAATTTTTGAACCGACGCATTTATTCGATGCCATCGACATTTTAATTGACCACTTAACTTTTCTCGCAATTGCCCGCGATACTGGTTATAATTTGCAGCGATTCTATGCCAAAAACTCTCAGCTTTTTGATCAACTCCCACAATTGGATCCTTTGAAACATTGAGCCATAATTGGATACGATATATATCCTCGTCCCTTGTAAATTGCTCTCGAGATTTTTTTTTTAATGAGAACCCTTTCTTCTTTTTCAACACCAACTTGAGTAGAAAATGGTGGAACTTGAGAATTTTGAGGATTAGGATTTTGATACATATTTGGATTGTCTGGTGACGGAAAAAATATGGCGGGGTTTGGTGGTACCGATGAAATTTGAGAATTTTGAGAATTAGGATTTTGATAATTTTGCATGAAATTGAACATAGCTTGTTGATAATGAAAATGATTAGGATCCATTGCCCTAAACAAATGTAATTTGAAATAAAAAGATGAAAATTT